GATTCAAAAGTCCATTTGATGCCCTATTTGAAGCAGTTCACTTGTTTACACTATTTAAAGACAATTTGAACAAAGGGCTGACAACAAGCCTATTTTCTCATATGTAAAACAGAAATATCATCCATCTAAAAATAACAATTTGGGGTGCATGTATCAAATTCCCTGGAAGAATAAAATGGGTGCATAATAAGTAACTTTTTGTTAAGTTGCCATTAATGAATTTGTGTATGTTGTAATCAACAACATTTAAAAATATTTCTACATAAACTCCTTGCTGTGTCCTTCCTCAAGATGGAGATTCTCTCCTATCTCTCAGGTGAACCTAGTGATTGGCTTCTAGCAAAAAAGGTAGGTGATGTGACAGGGTACCACTTCTAAGACTAGATTAGGAGGAAAGATCATGACCACCAGCTTGCAGACCCTCTTGTGCATGCTCTCCCTCTTTCTTTTAATTATTTGCTAAGGTGAAAGCCACCATTTCCTTATAAACACTCAGGCAGAGTGTTCAAGAGACCTTCACCCTATGAACAGTCATATGTGTGACTTTGGAAGCAGACTCTTCGCTGGTAGAACCCTGAGGTGACTGTGGCCTGACAGACAGCTGACTACATTCTCCAGAAAGACACTAACCTAGAGCCATGCAGACAAGTCACCTGGGGACTCCTGACTCTCAGAAACCAAAATATTATGTTTGGGGTACTTTGTTACAGGAAAAAAGATGCTAAACAGATCACATAGGAATAGTTATTTGATTATAATAATTGATCGCATAATTTAATGTGATTATAATTTGCTTTTACCTTCTTCCTTTGAATTCAGTCAGACCAAATCCATAAAACACAGGAATTCCTAAATAATCGAGTTGTTTCCGTTCTATCCACTTCCTGACTACAAAGAAAAATGTAACAAGAATATGATTCATATTTTTAGAAAGGTATTTTTACCTTTGCGTAAATGCTAAAACTTAATTAGTTAATCAAAATGGTAATTAAAACTTCTAAGAAAATAAAAACGATATAACAAGAATATGATTCATATTTTTAGAAAGATATTTTCACCTTTGCATAAATGCTAAAACTTAATTAGTTAAGGAAAATAGTAATTAAAACTTCTAAGAAAATAAAAACTTTTAAAAATCAATATACCTGCCTAAAGGCCTCAAGCTATTTGTTATCACTGTAGTTAACACAAAACTACCTGTTTTTAAACTAAAGCAGCAGTACCATTAAAGTCACTGTCTTATAAAGGGCATTGGTATCACTCACAACTATTTCTACTCATGAAAAAAATTCATTACATGCTAGCTAAATTTCTAAATGCAACGATGTATGCTGACTGCAAAGTCAGTACAGAGATGGCTCTACGCCCACCCCTTCACCCCCACCAACTACCTGTATTTGCAAATCTAAAACCATGATAGTCCAAAAAAAAAACAAACTGAGTAGAAAAATCATCGGACTCTAAAGTTGCTATAGGAAGTAACTGTTTCAATTAAACTTAGTTTACAAAATAATTCATAATTGAATGGTTTAATCCAACTAAACAATCAGGCAGTTCAATCACTGTTTTCACTTTTCTGCCATGTGTCTCATGTTTAAGACAGCTCTCCTGATAAAACAGTCAAGTTTAATGGATTCTATTTGTCACTCTGACACAGTTTCAGCACTTAGTGAAGACTAAGGTCTTAATGTTTAGGAAGCTTTATTAAGGAAAGCAAAGTTAATCATTCAAGCTAGACCCATCATTCTTCTTCCTAAACAAGACATGAAGGACCTTGACCGCACTAGTCCTTATGACTCCTACCAACTTCCAGTGTTTTACTTAGCCTGCCTGTGTAAGTCAGTCCTTATAAACTCTTTTACTTTTAACTTCTCAAATCCCCAACGACTAGTTCTTATGTATTGTAACCAGTTCCAAATGACGTACCAACATTTACTGTTTAACTATTTCCTTAAATATCTCAATATTAATCATTTCTGCATACTTTAATCCATTTTGCAACCCTCCCTTCATGTATATATCTTCTACCTACATTAATGGCTTTCCACTATAGCCCCCTATCTAAATGTATCTTTAATTTCATCCTATGATATGGTTAGACAACTCTTCTTGATAACTCAACAAGTCAAAATGTTATATAAAGCAGTAGAAACAACTTTGACTTAAAATACATAACCCATTATGTGTGCCATATCAAGATTTGCATACCATCTGTCTTGCTTTTATATGTTATAACAGTTAACTATATCACTTTACAATAAAATTTCTTATGGAAAAAAATTTTCCAGAACATCAGAAAAAGACCAAAATATTAACACTCACTTCAGCAAGAATATATATGGAACTAGCTGGCTTTGCTACTTTTACTTACTATATTCTTTTTTTGCAGCTCTCTGATAAAATTTAAGCTTTGAAAATAATGGGCCATTTTCTTGATATTCCTATGAAAGAAAATAATAATTAGTCCCACTAGGAAAAAGCTCATCCTAAACATGGAATGAATTATAATTCAATTGTGAAAATATAAGCATATGTATGTAAAACATATAATAGTTATAGAATTGTTCTTCATAAAACACAGGCACCAGATTTCTACTAAAAACTAAATAAGCTTGAAAGGTCTCATTTTAAACAACATATTGTATCACTATCCTAAATATAGTCTTACATATGAAAGCTGTCTTCTGGAAAGCACTTATTAAAAGCACTCAGAACTGTATATAGAAATATACACCAACTGTATACCAACATGTACTTCAAGGCAGACACACTGAAAGTACCCTGGGGGTTCACTTGTACCTCATACTTTACTAAATAGCTACTGCATTCTACTTACTTGCTGGGCGCAGAGGGCACAAACAGGCTAGGCCTCACTTAAGGACCTCATTATCCAAAAAGAGGG